CTCCGCTATTTTGGCCAGATTTGGCATCATGCCACTATTCTAAAAGTGTCCTGGAGTGGTGTGAGGCCAATTCTGTCCATTTTGTTCCAAAGGACATGAATCCGCCAAACTGTCCGGAGCTGCGCCCGGTGGAGCAGTACTGGGCAATAATGAAGCGGGAACTTCGGAAGAGCAAGAAGACAGTCAAAGACGAGAAGGACATATTAAGAAAATGGAAAAAAAAACTGAGAAACTGGTACCGGATGACACTGTAAAGACTTTGATGGAGGGCATCAAGCGAAAATGCGTTCAATTTTACACTCAAGGCTCCATCGATTAACTTTTCTTTTGATTTTTGAAGTAAATATATGTATAAAACTACCCTAAAATTTTGGTTTGATTCTAAACATTATAAGAAAATTGGCATGACATTTTCGGTGTCGCAATAATTTCGTGTTCGCCCTTTATTAATGATTTGTGACGTGTTTTACGATTTTGCGACATTAATCTTTTTGCAGATGATACTGTGTTATTCACTGCAGCTAAGGATTTAGATGATACCGTTTTACACTTGAATGAAGATTTGCGTTCTCTAAGTAGATGGTTGAAGTATAAGCAGTTGAAATTGAATACAAGTAAAATTAAATTTATGGTAATTTCGCGGAATCGAGTAAATGAGAACGTCTCTGTTGTACTTGATGATGAGACTATTGAGATGATTGATGACAAACTTAAGTTCAACTCTCACATGTCATCAAGAAAATTGCCAAGAAGTATGGAATTCTATGTCGACTGAAAAACGATTTAACTATTGCCAGTAAAATACAGCTATAAAAATCAATCATCTCTCCTCAACTAGACTATGGCCCTTCCATTTTATTTCTGGCCAATACAACACAAATATCGAGATTACAGCGCTTGCAGAGTAAAATAATGCGTTTGATTTTGAGATGTAATAGATTCACTTCCTCAACTTTGATGCTAGACGCCTTACATTGGGTTCGGTGAAGCTTGTGCTTCATAAAATTCTTTATATTATAAAGGAATAAATGTTTTCAATTCGATGCCTAGACATATAAAACGTTCAGCAACACTTACAGAATTTAAAAGACACTGCATTTTACACGTTAAAGCTGTCTTTTGAACAGTTATTCAGTGATTTTTTTTATGAATTGACAAATTATGTATCTTGACGAAATTATCTCTAACGGATTATTTTATATGGATAGCTGTCATAACGACCTTTATAATAATTATTGTAGCACTGGAAAAACTATTTCTGTTCGCCACGATGGTGAGGATGGATTTTTAATATTTGATTTAATAGTAGATTAATAAAAAAAGTAGTCAACAAAGATTTGAGCCTCGCGCGCGTATTACGGATATAGAGGACTGAATTTAACATTTGATAAAAAAAAAAATGCAATTTTGAAGCTTATTTGGGTTATTTGAGTTAGTAGTAAGTTTTCTGGCAAATGTTGGGGGTTCGTGAGCATTCCTAACATTGCTGAAAATTATGATAGCATCAATTGCGGGGTTGCTAGTGTAATATGATGCTTTGTAGATTGTTCATTAACTCTTGATTGCTTTGTAATTCTTATGAATATTTTAGGTGGACAAAAAGGCAAGCTAAGAGGTGGGCGCCTGAGCTTTTCCACATTTATATCGCTGTGGTTCACCAAGTGAAAAGTTCGTGAGTCATAGTGAGTTTTTACGAACTTTTTCATCACTGAAAGCAACTATAAACTCTCGTCGGAATTTATATCTGTAACTGAAACCAGTTCGATTTTGTTTGCAAACCTGGTTAAATTGTCATATTTAATTATCTTAAAGATAAATCGTCCATCTCAAACCTTTGTGGGGGTAAGAGGTGGGATAATCATCATCATCACCTACCAATCATATAATTACCAAAATAAGAACGTACGGTACGAGATGTCCACGTTTCATCCATCTATTGGATTCTGAAGCATCGTGTTTAAATCTTCAATTTAAACAGGCCCGTTGTTTTCTGAATCATCTTGCCCCTTAAATGCTGCACAGTAGGCTTGGCCGTTTTGATATGTGTGACGCATCTTCGATGTGAAACATATATCAAATAGACAAGAAAAATGATGTATATAGGGTATACGTCCCTAACCTCGGTCTAATATGCAGCCATAGATTACGTTTTTAATCATAACTCATCAATTAATTTACCTGCAAACGATATTCTACTGCTAAATGGTATGCTTAGATATGCTTATCATGTCGTTTGCTATCAGGAACCGCAAAAAGTTGAAAAACTTACTTTTTTTAAGACAAAAACTCACCAGGGAAATGTATGTAATATCGGTCTATTGTCCCCAAATTGGGTCTATTTATGGATGCAACTTCGTCCTATCCTGTTTGATTCTCAAAAAAAACGCTCTTGGTAACGTTTTCTTATGTATTTTTTTTTATCACTATCACTGTTAACTTAATACTCTTCATTCCTCAAAACATTTCTTAGAGAAAATTTTACGAAAACTACATTAAATCACTCAAGTTAAAAATTAAAAATTAAAAATTTCGCTTATCGTCTTTCGACCGCAGAATATCTAAATCAAAACATTGTGATGTTCATTATACAGATTTGGCAGAAAAAATCTCCCTTCCTGTTCGTTCCTTATCATCCAAATGCAAACCACATTGTTGACGTTACTCTTATTGCTATATGCTGTCAAATGAATTTCATGGGCCAAAGTTAGGAACATAGAAAAGAAATGTGTCCCTAAAGTTGGGTCCATGATTTACTTGTGAAAACGTTGTTAAACAATTAAAATAAACATAAAATATTCAAACAGTAACTGTGAGTTTTACGTCTAGTGTGTATTATCAGGTAATTCCATTAAATAAATGCCATAATCAGGCCATTTGATGATCGTCAGTGCAACCTTCCCATCTTAACCTTAGAAGTCATGGCGGCTAAAAACTCCGAACAGAGTGATATTCTCAACCAGTTTTATTACTTACGAGAGCTGAAAATGTATTGAAATGTTGTGATATAAATTGATTTGTGTGTGGTACACATTTATCAATCATCAGTGATCAATATTTTCCTTATTTTTTGTGTAATATTCCTTAATTAATTATTTATTTGCGTGATAGGCCGAATGAAAGGACTAGACCCACATTACATACCGTAACCCTATATATCATTTTCCAGGATGCTTTCAAGAACTGGCTGTGTTGGTGTTACATTAGATTAGATTAGACACTGACGTGATTGATCAAGATGATAAATATATTAGGCATACGGATGCTAGGCATACGTATGTTAGGCATACAATATGGTTGGACATTAGACATAATTTAGGTATGGAGAATATACATCATGCTTTCTTGCATATGAAGACATAAGTATTAAGGACTAAAACGAACGAAAATGAACCAACTGAATAGATCACCTGTTGGCAAATATATTATAATATCAATAAATATGCTTTATCCTTTTGTTTTCTCGGACACACGATCATCGACCAACAAGTGTGCATTTGCATCAGGAAAGTCAACTATTCTAAACATATTACCGAAACATATTACATATGCTTCGAAGCTCCAACAAACTCTAAAACTAATCTCTTTTAAACAATTATTTTCGGGTTCTCATAAGTATGGTCTACCATAAAAATTGCTTTCTCTGAGGCATGTGCTGTGATGTCTCAGAGAAAATCATTTTTGACATTTTAATTTACTCACCCGGTCACTTTCACCTTCAGCAATATGCACACCTATTTTCCTGGTGGTAATTAATAGGATAAAATCATATTTTGTATGCCTTATTAATTCAACAGTCTCATTCCACGACTGTAATCGAATGCAGGTAGGATGCCTTTTCTGAAGTTAGGTGGTATGTCGAGAGTTTGTTTTTGCCTGCTACACATTTAATCTAGCACAGCGGCGCCGGTGGTGTAGTGGTAAGCGTGATTGCCTCTCTCCCCAAAAGGCCTGGGTTCAATCGCAGTCGGCGCCGCCCTTCGGAAGGGAAGTAAAGCCGTTGGTCCCCGGTTCATGAGCTGTGATGGGTCGATAGGTAGGGTCTAGGTGTGGGAACTACCTCCTTGGCGTCGGTAGCATTTGTACTCAGTACGGAAAACAGGATCGACGGAAAACAAATAAAAAAAAAAAAACATTCAATCTAGCTCGCTAAAGTCTTCAACAGCCGATTACCTCGGCATTTATTTTAGCTGATATCTTTGCAAAACATCTGTTTGTTAGCTGGGATCTCAACAAAAATCTAATTTGTTATATCAATCGAGGCAATTGTTTTACTGAATCTCAGTAAAATAAATTACAAAACTACTCGGCTATTGGAATCTCGGCAAAAAAAATTTAAGTGTGTACGTGACGTATGAAAAAGCAGTGAGTAAAAAATATTATTAATATAATATATTTGCTGATGATTTGACGATCGATAAGGTATTAGATATTCGTATTTCATTAGGTAATCAAACTGTTCTAAATTTTGATAAAATAAGAGACTGTAGATTCAAAATTAACATATGTGGATCATTATAACACAATAATTCATAGAGATAATTCTTTTAGGATTCAAGTGACTACATATTTATTTCAAAATATTCACGTAAAAATTACGTAACTGTCGAGGTTTTAAATCTGCTTGATTTTTTCAAGTAGGGTTTCTTTGAGTTTGGAATATTTTTTTTTTAATATATATTCCCTTATCATCAAAAGGGCAGCCTGAGTTTGAGTAAGAATGTGACAAAAGCATCTTTGCAAAAAAAAAAAAAATAGTACAAAATATGCTTCTCACAGTGAAATCCCACTTACCATTCATCACAAACATCGCAGTGGACGCGCGTTCGTTGCAAAGGTCATCACCAGCGGGTCAAATTCTAGAACAAACAGGCTTCAGGCGATTGATTCTCCACACGAGCGCTTTGGCGAAAGACGGCTATTAATCTATTCGGAAATTCTTATAAAGTGCTCAGTTTGCGTTGGATCGCGTTAGAAGAAAGTTCGGATTGTGATTGATTCGTTTGTTTGCAGAAAGTTTCTGCAAAAAATAGTTATTGGATCGTAGCGGTACAGTAGCCCTCCAAGGGTAGCGACGAAAAGTTATTGAGTGAAAGCATCGACATGATTAAGTTAGGACTAGTGGTTTTGCTTGCTGTTGGAACGTGCATCGCAGGTAAACAATTATTTTTTTGAATTGTGACTGCGAAGATAAGAGATGGTTGTAATACGTGGCTCTTGAATTCTCAATAGAAATGTTCTTTTCTACTTCCGCCTCCGGCGTGTCCTCCGCAAAAATAGTCTTTGGAGCACGAAAAACTGATTGGTGCTTTTAAGCAACATTTTCCTGTTGTTGAAATGTATAAAATAGAAGACGAGTATGAACTACCGTTAGTTTATTCTTGGATGTATTACAAGTCAATTATTTTCAAATGAAAGGCTACCTGGTGACATTGGTGTCAGTTTTGGCCCTGCAAAGCTCGCTGGCTCTTAAAAATTTGGAAGAGCCGAGGTGGAAATCGTTTCAAGATGCCGAGTTAGAGTGTGCTAAATATTTGTTCATTACCAACAAGACACTCCAGCGGTACCACATCAGCGGATATCCGAATGAACCGAGCGACCAGAAGCTTATGCACTGTATCTTTATTTATTTGCACGCGTGGGATAAAGTTCGGCAGGAGGCTAAAGACTACGTGCTCAGCCAGTTCTTTATTCCATCCACAACCGATTGTCAATACAAACTACATACCCAAGAATGCCTCGATCAGAACGTGGCATCACTGAACATATCTGATACACTTGGTCGAGCGTACCAAACGTTCCAGTGTTATTACCAAAACTACGCTGGGATCAGTGACGAAGTGAAATGGATTCCGTATGACTTTAGCGAAATCAGGCAAACGGTGGCAGATTGTCTGCGCATCGTTCCGCAAACACCCGAATCTCTACTGGAATACTGCCAAGGAAACTTCACACACAATCCGGATTATCCACAGGCGGCATACTGTATCACCGTACGATCCGGTTTCTACAACAAATCGACTGGAATTGATCTAGAGAAGCTTTACGTGCAGTACGGAACCAATGCCCTGCTCCATGATCATACCAAGGCTTGTATTGCAGGAGTGGCCGATCAGTACTGCAAGGAACCGGATCGTTTGATACATATCGTGTTGGATTGCCTGCGTAATTACCTTCCGATCGTTCGTGACATCAGCGCTGGCGCCAGCGACGTGCTGGGAAATCCCTCTGAGTGTGTCGTTCCTCCAAGTCCACCACCGCAGACCCAACCATGCTACAATACTCCGTGCGTTTAGGGAAGTCGGATTTCGTGGATCCTTGAACTGATGGAATGCGAACAAAATTTTGTTTTCATGAAGGACGCTTAAATAATTTTAAAAAGTATGAAGAACGATGACTGTTTAATTAAATGAATAATTCGTGGAGCTATTAATTTGGTGAATAAAAGAAAAAAGTATGTATTTGCTTGAAACATGAAGTCAAATTTTAGTTTTCTTTAGGTCTTTAGAAAGGTGTTCGGGTGAGCATATTTTTAAATTTTTGTTAACTAAAACTTCATCTCAATTCCAAAACTCACACTTAATATGACTGACTGATTTTCTCAGAAGTGAATCGCCTAAATTTTGAAATGGTCACTAAAGCGCGCACTATAACTTGTTGTAGTTGTAGTTGTAGTGTATACATGTAGATGCACCAATCTTCTTCGTTTCTCAGGATCTTAGAGACCGTCATTACCGAGGAATCAAAAATATCTCCAAATGACAAAATGACAAGCGGTCAACGATCCGAATGATAACGCTATGTCAGAAGTGGAAAGCAATAAAAATATAATCTTCATGACGACAGGGCGATAGAAGGAAACAAGCAAATTGTTGGCAAGCTATGTTACAGAGCGAGTTTGTCATGTTATTCGCAGCAACCGTTTTGTCTGTATCATTGGTTGCTTTATGTGGTCATTACAGATCGAGGACTCTTATAAAAAAGACTAGTTTTGAATTTATGTAGTAAATTATCATCATACGATCATGAGCTCATCAATGACGATCGTATAACATAATTTTGCGCACCTTCGGGTATATTTCACTTCATGCGTGTCAAACAGTAGGTAGTCTTCTCCGCTACAATGAACGAAACCATCTACAATACTTCGAATGATTATTGCATTGCTCAAGCCCTTAAACAAAAACATCATTCTCTGTTCCAATGAAACCTCAGACCATTCAAATCGAAGTATCAGAATCGGTTTTTCGAATGATATATGCAACCGAATGACGGTTGTTTTCTGCTCCTCTTGAATACAAGATGAACATTGATACGACAAGCGAACCGACTTCAGTTGAAATACGTAATGCTCTCCGTAGCATGATTGTCATCTCAAATTGAAATGCATATGGTATTGGTTCGAAAGTAATTTGCTGATCTGAGCTGACAAACGAGATTGAAATATAGTCAACGCTATCATAGGTGGTATGAACGTTGGTAAAGCGTGGAAACCGAAGATTGTATATTTCGTGGTGGAGGCAGTTTCCTGTACCAACAAGCGATTTTTGTATTAATCATGGAATGGCTGTTCATGGCTATTCAATATGGAAATGAAAACAGTCAAATTATCAATCTAATCTAAAGCATCCTATTCTTAAAATAACATTCTTTATTTGGATGACAGTCATCAGCTCATCAGCTGATGTGAGTTCGTCATCCGAAATTCGCAATCTTCCGAAATTCGAAAGCATATTGTTAAAGGACTCGAGCAATTCAGTAATCATTTGAAGTATTGCAGATGTTTTCGTTCAGTGTACTGCTCGAATATTGCTTACACTGTACCAAAACAGCATACTCCATTCGAATTAAACCTCAGATCATTCAAATCAAAACATCGAAATCGCTAAGAAAATTTCAATGATTCTTTTTATGTGTCCCACAAATGCATTTTTGCAATGCGATCGACAAATGATATCTATGTGTCGGACACATACTTAATATGTGGTCACATAAAACATGTGAAATTTCACTTGGAAATTCGTCAATAAAAATGTGTGGAATTTTTTTGAGTGTAATGTTCGGCCCATAGTTATAAATCGTTAAAATCTTTAAATGTTCTAAATTCACAATAAGAGTGAAATTGTGATATTGATTTATTAGGCTAGCATGTTACATAAAGGTTAGTTCTTTTAATTCGTGAAATCATCAGGTTTTTCGATGACCACCGCAATGTAGATTTTCGTTAGTGTAAGATCATGGCACCTAGAAATCGAAAATTAAGAAAAAATCACTAAACTTTTTCTTTGAAAAAGAGTAATCAATGATTTTAAATTCGTCCCAAAAATAGGCAATTCATATACACGAATTATGCCTAAAAAATGTGGTGAACCGCACCAATTTACGTAAACCGCGCGGTTCACTAAGAACGTTTTTTTTGCTTATTTTTTTGTAGCATTTCCAAAACGATCCACGACTAAGCCATTCCATACAGGAAAACAGTTCGCGTCCTCGGCGTACTGATCGACCGAACGCTCTCCTTCGACTTCCATTTCCAACAGGTCAAATAGGACTGCCGCAGTAGACTCAACCTCGTTAAAACGATCTCTCGGCCTCACCGATCCAACAACCGCGATGTTCGGTTCCGGGTGGCGCGAGCTATCATCGACAGTAGGTTACTTGTATCGCTTCCGAGAAGCTGGTTAGAACCCTAGCACCGGTCTACAACAGCTACATCCGCATCATATCTGGTGTCCTGCCATGCACTCCAGCAGACGCCGCATGTATCGAAGCTGGTCTTCTTCCTTTCCGGTTCTGCTTAAACACAAATATTGCCACAAAAGCAGCCGTCTTTTCCGCCAAGACTTCCGGAAACAATAGGATCTTTCTCCTCGACGAGGGGAACAGAGTTCTCCGCACGGCCGCCGACATCGAACTTCCCCCCAGTGTTCAAAGTTCATTGGCATGGAGAGAAAAGTTGGCACTCTTCACGAATCCAATTGGACAATCGGATCAAGAACCGCTTCAAAGCAGGGGATGTATCCGTGATTTTGCGCAGATCGGTCGCCGAATTACTTGGGTCCAACTATGCCGACCACGTACACCGGTACACCGACGGCTCCCGATCGATAAACGGAGTAGGTATCGGGATTTTTGGAGACGGTATTGCTGAAAGCAGCAGTCTTCCTCCACAGTGCTCGGTTTTCTCGGCCGAGGCTGCAGCGATCTTTCGTGCCGCTACGATGCCAGTCAACAAACCGATGCTTATATTAACCGACTCACACAGCGTCGTTCAAGCGATCACCTCGGAAGCACCAAAACACCGTGTACATATGGATTCCCGGACACTACGGAGTGCCTAGTAACGAGTCTGCTGATCACCTTTCCGGAGCCGGGACATCGGGTACCAGACTCACCGACAAGGTACCCCTACAGGACGTCAGACGGTGGATCATGCGGACCATTCGAGCGCCATGGGAAGCCGAGGGTTCCGCAACAGAACTACCTTCATCCGCAAAGTCAAAGGGTCAACTGAACCATGGAGCGAACTGGACAACCTGAGGGATCACCGCGTGATTTTGCGGCTTCGAACCGGGCACACCAAACTCTACTATAACCGCCGTTCGGCAGAAGCTGCATCATCTGTGGGGTACCCTACACCGTCGAACACATCCTGTGCAACTGCCCGGAGTTCCAAAATCTTCGGGAGTCACTCTGCCTAACTTCCAGCATCAGCGATCTGCTCGGGAATGATACTTCGGCCTCGGTAGCACTAGTAACCTTTTTAAAAGAAGCGAAAAATCTACCACTTGGTATAGCAGGAATTTCTTTCGGCCGTCGGGACATCTCAGCTGGATCGATTTCCCCCATTGGACCCATGCCAGCTGAGCTCTGTTTTGTTTGGATTATTCGTTTGTAGCTTGTTTTAAATTATTTTGTTTTCTGTTGTTCCTCTGTTTCATTATTTTTTATATTGTTATTTTTTTCCATATAAGTTGAAGAGCCAGCAACCAAAGTTATTTACAAAATGTTATTATACCATGTATAATGAGGTTACTCACTCTGAGGCCTCTCCTTTCTCCGGAGATGAACTAGTCATAGGCTTAAAATCTCCTTAATAAAGAATAAAAAAAAAAAAAAAAACATTTCCAAAACTCTCTGAATCAAAAATATGGTTCAAATCATTTCTGTTCTGTTCTCTTTTTTTAAATTTTGATTCGCATTTTTTTAATATGAAAAAGTCAAAAAGTTCTCTCCCCAGGATGAAACCATTTCCATTCGATTCTGCAAGTTGTTTACCTACAGAAAAGATATGAATTATATTTTTGTTTCAGCGAATTTCAATGGAACACTATTAAATGTATTTTTCCTATGAAAAAAGGGATGATCACCAGTGGTGGGGGGAAATACCCCTTCCCATCCCTCTTCAACATGGGGAGTTTGGTAAGGAAGATGATCAACCCGATTAGTGCCTTCCTCAAAATTGACTTTTGCTCGGTTTCTACTCTCTGTATACAATTTTCACACTGCCGTACTCGAACGGAACTATCAACTCTATACTTTCATCTTCTCATATATCGTGTAAAATGACCACTTTTAGTCTGATATGTGGTGTTAAGCATCTCCAACTATGAAAAATCGTTAACTTCATGCCTGAAGTAATACAAACATGATTAGTTACAGTATCAGATTCATGAAAAAAATACACATTTAATTGAACCACGGTTCATTACCCAAGTCTGGTCCCTGGGAAGATACGCCGGCGCTCAATTTAGTAGTGTTCTAGATGCACTTCTTCCACAGTTGATAATTGAGAGCTTTCTAAGCATGTAACATTTTTGCATCAGTTTTATTGTGTCAGTATTCACTCGGCTGTCGACAGAAGCAGACCACTCTCAATGTGTGTCACGCGATCGTCTGTTTACTCGGTAACAACCATTGTGTGTTCCTCCTCATTGTTCTTCATCAGCAGTTCTTTCAGTCAATGCGTCGTCGACTTTGGAAAGCAACCGTTTCGTGATGAGTGTGTGAGTGATGACCACGTTTTGCGTCAATTGCTGCAATGGAAGCGCTCTGACCCTCGTTGGCGAATCTGCCATACAATGAAACCACTGGAAGCGGCTCCTGTTCTGGTAGCGGAGGTTTATTGGATAGCGGAAGATAAAATGTTTATTGTGTTGCACCTTTTGACTATAGTTTTAAGATGTATTGTATAGTGAGCAAGAATCCTCGGCTCTGTAAAGTTAATTCGGTTGAGCCTTATAAAATAAATTAATAATAATAATAGTTTTATTGTGTGGCAAGTACAATCATACTCTGTGCCCATGGAAGTCAAGATATTTTTCAACCCGAAAACATCCTAGACTGGACCGGGAATCGAACCCAGCCGCCTCCAGCTTGCTCTTGCTTTATAACTGCGCCTTTACCGACTGAGGCAAGGGAGGCCCAAAAAGTGGAACATAGTTTTACAAAATAGGGTGTGAAGTAATGTGTTTGAACCGTTTGACTGAGCTACATTTTTTTATTTAAGAAGATAACGGCTGTTCATTCACCTATAACTAAGCTAATATGAAACCATGAATACGATCTTATCTCTGTTAGACGAAGAGGAAGGGTGTTATTTGTACCTAGAATAGGGGTTTTGATCTAATTTCCGTCCTACTAAGCACAAGCCGAGCTTTACCTCTCTTTTCTGAACGAGTTTAAACAAAAAATGAAGTATTTCTGTCAAAGATGACTTCTAAATTTATTCACCTTTCCATGCGTACCGTTGGATTTGATAAAGAGTCACAAATTGTTGAGATATTGTTTAAAATCTAATACTGCTTCTTGATTCTAAATTCGTTCTACGAGTTTCAATTCCGTCCTAACGCATTGAAAAGCCATTAGATTTTCTTCGTCCTACGGATAAACGTAGAAAAAGGGGATTCGCTAGGAGCGCTTCTTTTGTTTTGAGAACAATGAGCGTAAATATTCATACAATGCGCTCTAACAGGGTTAATGTTGTAGCTAATGAACTAGCGCATCAGAACAAACCTATTATTGATTTGTGCACGCTGAAATCATTGATATTATTGATCTTTTCTGATCGATAGAACGGAAATGGGCGATTACGACGAAGTAGCGCTCTACCCTATGGGTGAAATAATCAATGTACATTAGGGTGCTTCATTTTCAATCAAAGTACCTTAAATTATATAGGCCACCTTCTAGTTTGATTCATAATTTCAAAATATGAGTATGATCAATGAATGGTAGATCTTGTTTTTTTTCTGCACTGGTTCAAATCATCCTATACTTTTTCAAAATGAAGCACATAAGTCCTTTTTCAAGCATTCGTCATCAAAAGTTGCTACAACTTGAATTCAAATATTAGTAACCGTTATGTAAAATTTGTTCTACAAAGTGAATAGGTACGCAGACATTCTTCATAAATTTGAAGCACTCTCCTCTCTGCCTGACTGCATGGGCAAACTAAAATACCAAAATATAGAAATATGGCTGGGTCACACATATTCGACAAATGGATACGTTGTTTATGGAAAACTCCTAGCGATAAAGTTGATCCTAATCTAAAATTTCCACGGGTTGATGTAAATAAATTGTCTCCAAAAGCGCGTCATAATTCTTCGGGACCGTATCAGTTCGTACATGCACCAGAATATTGCAAACTGACCATAATCTTTCAAAATCATAAATTTTGGTGTGTCCCACGATCTTGTGAAATGTTTCAGATGTTCCGAAGTGGTCAATAAGTTTTCAGGTCATCTAGCTTTACTTGACTTTTTCGAAATGTGTAGATTCCAGATTCGATCAACCAAATCCGCATAACTTAGTTTCATCGTGTATTAAGAAAAATATTGCAGTTCTTGTTGAACTATCGGCAAACATAATGTACCTGTCAAATCTGACTTCAAGCAAATGCTTCAATCCGGAAACCTGATTTCCGAGAACGTGCTTTAGCAAAGAAAACAACAATCGATTATTCGTGGAAATTCGGTATAAGTTAGAATGCGTTGCCATTTCTCTGTTAGTTTACACTGGCTACATGAAAAATCGTTCAACTTCAAATGACTGGCTACCTGGTGACATTGGTATCAGTTTTGGCCTTGCAAAGCTCGCTGGCTCTTAAAAATCTGAAGGAGTCGAGGTGGAAGTCGTTTCATGATGCCGAGTTGAAATGTGCCGATTATTTGTTCATTACCAAGGAAACACTAGAACGGTACAACCGTACCGGATATCCGAACGAACCGAGCGACCAGAAGCTTATGTACTGTATCTTTATCGATTTGCACGCGTGGGATGAAGTTCGGCAGGAGGCTAAAGACTATGTGCTCAGCCAGTTCTTTATTCCATCCACGACCGATTGTGAATATAAACAGCATACCCAAGAATGCCTCGATCAGAACGTGGCCTCACTGGACACATCTGATACACTTGGACGAGCGTACCAAACGTTCCAGTGCTATTACCAAAACTACACTGGAATCAGTGAAGAAGTGAAATGGATTCCATATAATTTCGGTGCCATCGTGCAAACACTGTATGATTGTATGCGCATCGAAGCTCTCTCACCGGAGACTCTGCTGGACTTCTGTCAAGGGCGTATAGCGTCAAATCTAGACTATCCAACCCTGGCGTACTGTTTTTTCGTACGGTCCGATATCTACAACAAATCGACTGGAATGGATCTAGAGAAACTGTATGTGCAGTTCGGTTCCAAACCACTGCTCCATGAGCATACCAAGCGGTGCGTAGCTGAAGTGGCCGAACAGTACTGCAAGGAACCGGAGCGAATCGGACACATTATTTTGGACTGTTTGATCCAATACCTTCCGGCTACACGTGATATCGGCACTGCTGCCAGCGATGCACTGGGAAATCCTCCAGAGTGTATCATTCCTCCAAGTCCGCCACCAAAGACTCAACCATGCTACAATGGTCCGTGCATTTAGTGATGATAGGAATCGTTGTATTGATTGGTTTGCTTGTATAAAATAAATTGAACAAAACTTTAAAAGCATATCAACTGCTAGTGACAGAGAAAGATCATTTCAACACATAGTCATTCTTTTGGGTTAGTGTTTTTGTGTGGACTATGATCGTGCTACGCAAATAAACATTCCTTCTCCGTTTTATGAATGTGCCTGTGTTTGGAAAAAATTGTATTTTTTAAAATGGATATCCTTATTTAAAAAAAAAGCATTCCTGCTTTCTCCTCAGACTTCAGCTTCGAATCGAGAGGCTCTTGAGCACGAAAAAATGATTTCTATGTACGTGCCTTAACAGAAAAAACACAAACTTAATTTTGTCGACGATCACTATAAGTTGGGTTGCATGCTCAAGCTGTGGTTAGTTTACTGTTGGATACATTACGAAATAGCTTTATTTTAAATGAGTGGCTACCTGTTGCTCTTGGTGTCACTTTTGGCACTGCACAGCTCGTTGGCTCTCAAGAATTTGGATGAGCCCAGATGGAAGTCGTTTAGTGATGCCGAATTGGCATGTGCCAATTATTTGCTCATTACCAATGAAACACTCCAGCGGTACCATAGCAGCGGATATCCAAATGAACGGAGTGTTTGGAAGCTTATGTACTGTATATTTATTGAGTTGCACGCGTGGAATGAAAATCGTCAGGAGGTTAAGGACTACGTGTTCAGTCAGTTCTTTATTCCATCTACGACCGATTGTCAATACAAACAGCATACCGAAGAATGCCTCGATCAGAACGTGAAGCCCCTGAACACAACTGATACACTTGGACGAGCGTACCAAACGTTCCAGTGCTATTACCAAAACTACGCTGGAATCAGTGACGAAGTGAAATGGATTCCATATCATTTCAGTGAAATCGTGCAAACAGATATTGATTGTATGCACATCGAAAGTCTCTCGCCGGAATCGCTGTTGGACTTCTGTCAAGGCCGCGTAGCGTCAAATCCAGACTATCCAGCGCTGGCGTACTGTTTCTTCGTACGGACCGGTATCTACAACAAAACAACTGGAATGGATCTAGAGAAGCTGTATGTGCAGTTCGGTTCCAAACCACTGCTCCATGAGCACACCAAGTTATGCGTAGCTGAAGTGGCCGAACAGTACTGCAAGGAACCGGAGCGAATCGGACACATTCTTTTGGACTGTTTAATCCAATACCTTCCGGCTACGCTTGATATCGGCACGGCTGCCAGCGATGCACTGGGAAATCCTCCGGAGTGTGTCATTCTTCCAAGTCCGCCACCAAAAACTCAACCATGCTACAATGGACCGTGCGTTTAGGGAAGGTATATTTGCGGTTTGCCGTAATAGAGAGTTTTAAATAAAGCTGTATTCATTGCACACTGTTTGCTACAGATCTCCGTCAAATTGGCTAGTCATTCTCTTGTTAAAAAAAAACTTACATTGTGCGCCAAAGAAAGTTTGTTTGTACTAGGTATGACGACACTGTTTTCATTCCGCTATCTAGACCAAATATCATTTTGGTGTCACACCTCTTTTGTTGAAACTGTTCTCAGCGTCAATTTTATAACCACTGCATTTTGTTTTTTTTTTGTGTTTCATAATTGTGCATGAATTATTTTGCTGATTACAATGTTTGTGCTTTCTTATGCAATTCATTAAAAAGCATTTGATAAGATTTTTTCTGTAGGTACCTCTATAGTCATGCACACATACAGGCAGTACTAAAATTAATTCTCGAAAATGATATAAATTCACGTAGGTATCTGGACTGAGCACACTTTACAAAAATGCTTGAATGAGTTGCTATAGTTAAGACATTTGACCTATATTCATAAAACATTGGAATTTACCAACTCTAAGTCACTCAGTTGTTTGAATTATTGTTGTAATCGATGTTACAATGGATTGAAAGGTTGGGGACAGGTTTGGGGAGGAAAATTTTTATTTTTTTCCTATAACTACGGTGCCCGGTAGGGTTGTCAGACCGTTTTCTGATATAGAACATCCCATCCACAAATTTGAAAGAAGCCTGCTGGACCAACATTTAAGGTGTGTTTGTCGCATGCATTCTGAAGTTCGTTATGGATTCCATACTCATTGTAATCTGGTTTACAACCAGGTTGGGGTGGTGCTGTATCGTGTGTGGAATAGTTGCAAGACTAAATTTATAGTTATATCAGAAATATCGAAACGTTTTAATTTAAGGTAGGTGGAGTTTAAGTCTGCCAACCTGGTTGCAACGTGTATGGAAAAGTCACACAAACATTGCGTATATTTAAAATGGGTTTGCCGATTGGATTGTGTGTGGTGCAGTTGCAAAAATTTTGCTCGGTTGACGAATTGGTTGAAAGGAGATCGGACAACCGAAGTCGAAGAATGAAGTTTACAACTAGGTTACAGTGTGGATGGGCTGTGTTAGTTGGCGAAAGGTAAATCCAACATCATCTAGCTAAGTTTGTTTTGTCTGACTTGAAGCTTTCTTCGACATGTTTGAGCGCAGGTGTGCCAAGCTGGAAAAGCGTACGTGAGGGACGCACAGTGGGGCAGCGAAGCCATTCGCGTGGCCAAAACCTCTAGCGCCGTTGGTTTGCTTCCTACAGCAATACTATGTTGTACAAAGTTGTTCAATACTAAAAGCGCCATCTTTTTAATGTTTCATATTAGTTCATTTTTACGCCACATAGGTGGCGCTCGAGTCTATCTTTTGAACGGAGCATTATAGCCGAATGGTTTTTACGGCAAAGTTGTGTAATTTGAAAACTCTATGACTCACATTAAGCGAGATATTGGGAAATTAGGAAAACTAACCTCTAAAATTGCGTTTTTTCCTTTTTTCACCTACATACGTCAAATGTATAAGTTTTATATTCTGATAATTAACAAAATGGTTTGACTCATCCAATAAATACTCATTATTTTATATACCATGCTTTATTATATAGTTATTAACATAAATGTCTCAAAAAAGTGATGCATAAAAATGTCAATTACCCAAAATATAGCAAAAAGTAGCAGCCAATTTTTTTTACAGTGATTAGTGTAGACCTTGTTGGGTAAAGTAACGACCACAGTTCAACAGGCAACTGCAAGCATTTTCATATAACATTATTTGATTAGTGCATACACACTTAGAAAAATTGATTAAATTTTAGATACTCTGAGACTGACATATACGAGCGTCAAATTTGACATAAAATTGAGCCATAACAGACGCGAAATTCATGTCAATCAAACGTAGTTTTCGTCGAGTATCGAACTTTTCATTCTCGGAGTCCTTAATTTTACATGCAATTTGTGTTTGCTTTTCATACTTTATGTCAAAGATTGATTCCGTCTCGTGTAGATTTAGTTATTTCTAAGTGTGTATGGTAAATTCTTTCAAATTTGTTGAAATTTTGCTTTGTGTGTAAAACATCATCAGAAACACAAGCACAAAAGCACACAGATTCTTCACTAACGCAACCCAAACAAGTGCAATAACTGGTATTAATGAAGAATTAATTGACCGATGCGATACAATTCTTCGTACGTTGTCTTCCGGATTTTCGATCAAAATAACAGCATTTCGAAATTTAGTTGAAGAAACTGCTCGTCTTTAAGTTAGCCTTTAAAAATGGTATCTTATGTCAGCCTCTGTCCATAAGGTTTTAATCCAAATTGCATTGCTTCCAATTGGTATGTTAAGCGAGGAGGCTCAGGAAGCCAGAAATAAAGACTTCAGAAAATGTCGGGAACGATACAGTCGCAAAACAAGTCGAAAGGACACTATGGAGGACGTTGGAGGATGGACATTTTAAACCAGCAGTTTTGAGTCTTCTAGTAATCTAATTATGCATCTATTGCATTCATCAATTACATCTTATCATGTTTTACACGCAAAGCAAAATTTCAACAAATTTTAAACAATTGACCATATGCAATATTCAAATGATGTTATATGAAAATGCTTGCAGTTGCCTGTTGAACTGTGGTCGTTATTTTATTCAGCAAGATCTACACTAATCACTGTAAAAAAATTGGCTGTTACTTTTTGCTATATTTTGAGTAATTGACATTTTTATACATCACTTTTTTGAGACATTTATGTTAATAACTTTATTATAAGGCATGATATATAAAGTAACGGGCATTTATTGGATGAGTCAAACCATTTTGATAATTATAAGAGTATAAAACTTATACATTTGACGTATGTAGGTGAAAAAAAGAAAAAACGCAATTTTAGAGGTTAGTTTTACTAATTGCCCGATATCTCGCTTAATGTGAGTCATAGAGTTTCGATGTCTTCAACAACATTACTCAACAATTCAAATTACACAACTTTGCCGTAATGTTCTGAGGCATAACATCTCTGATCACGCCTTCCTTCGGATGGGAAGTAAAGCCGTTGGTCCCCGGTTCATGAGTTGATGGGTCGATAGGTAGGGTCCAGATGTGGGAGCTGCCTTCCTAGCACGTCGGTAGCATTGGTGCTCAGCACGGAAAACAAGATCGACGGAAAAAACAAACCAAAGGAAAAAAAAACAACTTTGCCGTAAAAACCATTCGGCTAGGATGCTCCGTTCAAAAGATAGACTCAAGCGCCACCTATGTGGCGTAAAAATGAACTAATATGAAACATTCAAAAGATGGCGCTTTTAGTATTGAGCAACTTTGTAGAACATTGTATCGCTGTAGATAGCAAACCAACGGCGCTAGAAGTTTTGGCCACACGAATGGCTTCGCTGCCCCACTGTGGGACGGACGAACGATAAGTTTGTACAGCAGAATCTTAGTTGCGTTGCTCAATCGTGACCGCCGACAAATAAGTGGCTTGAGCATTTTGGTCAGTTTTCACATTTATCAAATTTGTTTGTTGAAATTGTGTTTTGACCTTTTGAAGAGTATACATTAGACCGATGCAAACTTTTAAATTTTTACTCCACAATGCTTTAATTTCTCCCAATCGGATCCTAATTAAAATCCTAAAATCTGAAATTGTTTGGTAAGAAACTGACTGCCCAAGCTACACATCGTCAATTTTTTAATTTTTTTTAATTTAAGTTGCCCAGAAATCCCTTAAATTGTACAAGAAACACATATTGATACGAACCTGTTTCAAGTTTGTTGCTTGATTTATTTTAGCTCTCAATAAACCTCAACTGTTTCAATGTACTGCTTGGATGACCTTTCAAATCATGCATGGGAGGTGCCAACATGTTACCCTCAAATTGGTATAGGGGGAATGGATGTAATGTCGGCCTAAATGCGCCTTATTTGGGCCCATACATAAATTCAGCAATCGACTAAATTTTCAATAGTGACCAACAATATCTATTTGTACCGTCCCAATGACGCGCTCATCTACACACTTAGAAAAATTCATGTAAATTTAGATTCTCTGAGAGTGACATATACGAGCGTCAATGTTGACATAAATTTGAGTCATAACAGACGCGAAATATAGCTCAATCAAACGTACTTTTCGTCGAGCAACGGACTTTTCAGTCTCAGAGCGTTTAATATTACATGACATGTTTGTTTACGTCTCATCTTTTAGGTCAAAGATGGATTCCGTCACATGTAAAATTAGTTATTTCTAAGTGTTTAGATAAAATGGATAAATAGCAAATTTTTAGCGGTAAGCTTAGATCCATAGGCCAACATTAGAGCCATTTCCCCTACTACGTGATATTGTACTTGAGCGACAAATCTAACTTGTGTTGTATTTTTTGAGTGAGTTTCACAAAACATTATGTTTCTTTAAACTTTGATGCAACAGAGTGTGGATTATATGATTGTTGTATCGATTGCGCAACTCTTTCGAGATGTTACCGAAAAGGTGTTGAACCAATATATGTTGAAGGACCTATTTGTATGTTAAGCTATAAATTTTTAAACTTCGATTTGCAATCAACTCGATCAAGTTGTTACTGTAAGAGTTTGCTCCAATTATGGCTCAACTATGTCATGTCACTGTAATGTTGTAAAACAATGTTGGACTACATTGACAAAAGCAGAGAATTCATTATGCATGTGCTAACATCTGTATATGAAATGGAACTAACAAATTACCATGAGGAAGACCACGACGAGAACAATAAGATTACGGACGGCGGAAGACGATGGCGACTAACAAAGATGCCAACAGTGGCTGGCGTGGCCGTAGTTTGTTGAGAGGACGTTGCAAAGCGCCAGAGAGAACGGTGATAAGCCTGAGGTGACGGATCGATTGTTGCTGGAGCTGGTGGCACCATCTATGTTGTTAGTTTTTGATGCTGATGTCAAGCTAATACCGCCGAACGGGGATGTGGCCGTTGAGAGTGCGTTAGCCAGAATAAGTAGCTCCCAATGCGGAAACCAGATGGCTGCTGACTAAAGAGCAGGACTGAAAAAAAAAACGCTAAAATTCGTCAAAGTTCACTATGGATGAAACATACATTTCATAGTGAATGCTGGTGATTTTTTCAACCCTGCCAAGGAGCTTCACCGATGTCGCTATCATTCGACAACCAGAAGTCGTATAACAATGTACAGAAAGTATCGTAAATAACTACAGTTTAAGTCAACATCGCATATAAGTATGAAATACATCGCATTATGTTTAAGTTAAATCGTGTAGAATGCAAATTTCCGACTTATATACGACGAATCTTTTTTCCATCGTACTGTATCACAAATTAAATCGAATTACATCGTAAGGTTTTTCAAATTGAATTTGTTATTACAGATTGAATTGACGAGGCTCGGTAGCTCAGTGGTTACGGTTTCTGCTTACTGAGCAGAAGGTCGGTAGTTCAATCCCAAGCCCGTCCTCTTCCTTGCAATTTTTCACTTTGCCTTATTCTATA